CTAAAGGAGTATAATCCCAGACTTTGCATCTAAGAATCAAGAGCAGATGCAGTCTACAGCTTTGCTCACCCATCTGCATGGGGAGGGTCTCACTGTCCTTCAAGGTGGAGGCGGCTTTCTTCAGCCGTCAGTAATCCTTGGCGCAGCTCTTTGCCCTCCGCTGTGAAGTTCGAAAATTGTTGCTTCTCTCGGTTTCCCTGCATTTTGTCAGCGCAGCACAAAGGCTGGCCAGCACGGCAGGCAGACAAGTCTAGGGTCAGAGTGTCCTGGAAGCGAAAGGCTCTTGAGGGAGCTGTCTCCAGCTCTCGGCCAGGCCTTGGAGGCTCTCCCTGACACCTGGAAAGCTTCAGTGTCGTGAGGAGATAGAGCACGCCACAGTGCAGCGTGTCGCCAGTCTCCCTTGTCATATCTGCAAGCTATGCTTTTTGTCTTTAAGTAACGTGCATATTACTGCCTTTCCTCTGGTGCTCTTGCAAGTGTCGTCCTGTTTATCATGTTTCACTCACCTGGTAGGAAGAGCTCAAGTGTTACCAGATCGTAGGGGCCACATCCTGGTTTGGCCACCTGTCCTCAGTAAGCCAACTAAAGGAGACAAATGCGGCTATGTTGGAGAGAGGGACAGAGGATCCCGAGACACCCCCAGGTGTGCCTCAGGGTTCAAATAGAAAGTACCGAGGTGCTCTGCTCAGCAGCCGGGCCACGAGTGGACTATGCCCACGACTCTCTCATTGCCAAGTCTCCCCAGCAAGGTCTGACCAGTAAATGTTTCTCTTGAAGATAAGCTCCTCCCCTGACTGACTTGAAGGGCTTCTAGCATTTCCTCTCCTGCAGGAGGTTCTAATTTCTTGGGGTCCATTCTCTCAGTCTGATAGCCAGAGAGAGAGCGCAAACCTCTTAGAATACACTCATTCCTCCAGACAGGTTGGCTAGACAAGGCCCGGGTTTCTCCCTGGGAGGCTTTGCCACCAATAGAAACTTGCCCTCCTGTGTGATTACAGCCTTCTTACCTGTCTGTCCCTCAGAGTCTTGAGAGCTATCACGGCTCCTTGACAGCATTTGCCAAGATAGATTTTTTTTATACAGATGATACTTCCTGAATCCCCTCTTGGGCCAACATTGTGTAGCCAGCCATAGGCCCAGGCCCAGGCAAAGCCCCTGGTGACTTTCTTTCAGGTTTCCCTTGCTTTTCCTTCTAGTGTATAAAGTTTACCTTTAGAGACAACTCCACAGGAGTGTTTTAAAGTAAGGTGTAGCATTTGGGTATGGGGACAGGCTGGGAGGAAGGCCTGGAGGATAAGTTAAAGGCCAGCTCAAAAGAAAAATAAATAAATAAATAAATGTGGCTGCCTTACTTAAGACTCACAAAAACAGGCTAGAGAAATGGCTCAGTGGTTAAGAGCAGAGACTGCTCTTCCAGAGGTCCTGGGATCAATTCCCAGCACCCACATGGCAGCTCACAACTCCAGTTCTAGGGAATGTGACTCCCTCACACAAATACACGTGCTGTCAAAATACCAATGCACATAAAATAAAAAAAATCATTTTTTAAAAAGACTCACAAAAATGTTTTTCCTGTGTGACAGCAGCTCTGAAGGCTTTGTTGGGTGTGACAGGTCAGGGATGGTTGTTTTCAGAGTGGTGCAGGCAGGCATGTCTTTGCTTTGTGCTCCAGCAAAAGCATTAAAACTCTGAAACCTACAACTGTCTCTGTACCCTGTGAGAGGCTGCCCTGTCAATCAAAGGCTCTCTTCCTTGTCTTTCCTGAATGCCCCATACTTGGTCACCAGCTTGACCTTGGAGTTGCGGGTTGACTTAAAATTTTATCTGTTTCAGAGCACAAGATGGTAGTGTTTCTCTTTTAACTTAGCATTCTGGGCAGGCATTCTTTCACCCAATCAAAATTCTAGCCAAGAAGTAAGTTGTCAACTAACTTTCGTGGATCTGTAGACAGGAGGGTTTCGCCCAGCTCTCCTTTTCAGCTCTCACATCATATTAGTTATTGGGGTCTTCAAGAAGATAACACCGCTGGCAAATGCGAGCCTCTCACAGCGGAGCTAAGCCGTGGGAGGACAGCAGTGAGAACCTTTACGCCCCGTGTCCAAATTCATTTGACCCAGGCCGTTCTGTTTGATGCCGTTTTGAAGGCATCTGCCCTTCTTAGCACATCGTGCGACTTGGTGGTGATAATTAGGCAGAAACCTGTCTTCCCCATGGATGGCAGGATCACAAAGGGACTACCTCTTGCCAGATGACAGCATCCACAGATATTTTTAGAATGTGCCTCATGATTTATTTGGTCTCCCCACTTCATTTCCCTTGATCCAGCAGCCTGATTTCAAATTTACCGGAGAGAGGCCTTTTCTTCCTCCCATGGAGGTCAGCAGTGATAGAGGACTGCATTTTTGTATCGCTAATTGGTACATTGTGAGTCTGCAGAAGAACAGCTGTAAAGTTTGTCAGCTGTCTGTCTGCTCCCCTTTCTTTTAAAGTCTTTTTTTTTTTAAGCTACAGGATTGTCAACACATGCACAAGCCTCAAAGCTAACTAAAAGTGAACTCCTATAAAACCCTTGAAACTTACACTAATCCAGCATTCTCACTGAACCCCCAAGTCAAGCGGCTGGTTCTGTCACTTTGCCCCCCTGCTATTTCAGTTCTTGTATGATAGGTGCCAAGGGTGAGCTTCAGAGCTCTTGAGACATCAGTGGGACTTAGGATTCCTTTCTCCACCTGAGTCCTCTATGCCATCCTCCTTAGGATGATTGTGTCTTTGGTTCTTTTACATTCCCTTCCACCACAGAAAAGAACTAAACAAAGCAGTGGCCTGCCTGTGGGGCAAAGTGAGGGTTTCCTGTGATCTGTGCCCTCTGTGGGCGCTGTCTTTGGCCCTACTGGCTCAGTCCACAGGCACAGAGGCAGCTTCCTGTGGAGGCCTCCCTGGGAAGCATGCCTGAGACCCTAGAGGAAGCTCCGGAAGGTGTCACAGGTGCCGAACACCGTTCTGCAGAAAGGGAAGAGTGATGATAGTGCCTATTCCTTTAACAATGGCATTCCCAGAAGATGTCCGTCTTTGCTGAGGGAATGGGGGTGTGGCAGCAGGGGATTGTTGCTGGTGTGGCTTTGGACCACTGTAGTGGGGCTTGTGTCCCAGTTTCGGGGCCTATGGTCAGTCCTGACTAGATGATGACACCTTGGGTGCCTAGCTACCCTCTGTCCCAGCATCAAAGCAGGCCATATTTGACCTCTGTTCTTGGAGAATGGAGTGTGTCATCTTCCCCTCGTGCACTAGTTTTCACAGCGGCATAATTAACACCAGAGGGAACCCGGGAGAGGTCAGAATTAGGTAATACCTTAGCACTTCTCCCTAGGCACACCCACAAAGTCAGGGTTGGGACCTGGGGAATGGAGTCCCCCGCTGATTGATGGCATAGTGATGTTAGACTCATGTATTAGCTCTGTGAAGGGAAGTGGCCTGATCCCTTCACAAGGACATCATCTGTGAGCCCACATCGAAGACTTGGAAGAGGGTCACCACCTCTGCCAGGCCAAGTTCCTCTGTGGTCTAGAGATTATTTTCCGTTTTTCTCCCTCAAAGTAATAGGCGAAAGTAAAATTGTCTAGTGGCTTTACCAAACAGAATACTCTCAGGAAAACCCTTAGCCAAACCAGGGGTCTACAGAAAGAGGGGACTTCTTTTCCTGACTTATAGTCTTTGCCTCCAAAAAAAAATAAAAAAATTAAAAACCTTTCTTTTGCTGTCAAGAGCTTTCACCAAGGTAAATATAGCCCAGGACTCAGTCCCGCAAAGGTCTGACTCCGCCGACAGTCTCTGAAGAGATTGAAGTCTTACAGGAGGAGGTGGTAGATGTGCCGCACTGTGCAAGGGGTTCCTGTTTTCTGTTACTCGTGCCTCCTGGGGAGATGACTTTACAGATCTTCCTCTGACGCCTGGCCCTGCTCTGTTTACCAGGACAACCAGCAGTGTCTCCACAGACAACAGCTTTTCTGTCCCTGAGGCCTGTCATGTTGATTCCTTTAGCTTTGTCTCTGAGTATCCTTTATTTTTTCATAGATTTTTTTTTTTTTTTTTTTTTTTTTTTTTTTTTTTTTACTTTATGTGTCAAGAGTGTTGGCATGTAAATGGATCACATGGGTGGTGCCCGTAGGGCTCAGAGGGGGCATCAGATCCCCTGGAACTGGAGCTCCGGACAGTTGTGAGCTGGGAAGTGGGCCCGGGTCCTCCTAAAGAGCAGCCACTGCTCTTAATTGCTGAACCGCCTCACCAGACCCACTGGCTATACTTTTTAGTGTTAATCCTCTTAACTTGCCTGGACTCCCTGGATTCCCGTGCCCTGGGAAGACCTCCACAGGTGACTGCAGAGACAGAATAATGATGTTAACAAGATGTTCTGTGGAAAATTGTTTTTATATATGTTGTAGAGTGGTGGTAATGCTGGTAGTTTAACAAAAAAAAATTCAGTATAAACATCTAATTCCCACGATGGCTCACTTGAGACGACTTGAGCCTCCCACAGTGGAGAAGCCATGATTCCCTGTGGAATCTCACGAAGCCTTGGCTGCTAAGCAAGATCATTTTGTTCACTGGGCTGATGGGGAGAACTCGGGAGTGCCGCTATCTGCTTTGGGTAGCCAGCTTGCCAATCTTAAGCGTGCTACATTCAAACACCTAGACCAGACCCCAATCCAAACCCTTGCGAGCCCTAACTTAACAAGACCCACCAAAAACAGCCCTCTTGTACCTTTATTATTGTCTCAAAGTCCAAGATCCCATTTCCTTTGGGCTTTTTAACTTTTGAGTGCTATAGTAAGAACTAAGGTGAATAATTCTCTCTGTTGTCCTTATATTTCAGACATGAAATAGTAGCAAAATAACATTACTTCATCACTTGGCTTTGAGGGCTGACCCCCCCCCCCCCCCCCCAGCTTCCTGCCTGTTGCTTGCTGAATGGCCTTAATAACTCTGGATTTTTCTCTTTTTAGACCCTCTAACTGACAGAAGACCTACAGAGAAAACCCTTTGCCAAATCTGCTCTCAGCAAGTGGACAGTGATGCCGTTTACAGCCTGACACCTTTGTGAATCCCACACCATTTTCCTAACCCAGCAGAGACTGTTAGCAGCCCTGGCCCTGGGTGGAGCCCTTACCCGTGGAACAGAACTCTATACCGTATGCAAAATCTAACTCATCTGCGAGTGACCTGCCAGCGAGGACAGCACCCATCAGCACCACCCGCTCTCCTTCCGAGCCCACCGGGAGCCCCCATTGGCGATTCTGTAGTGTTTTGCTATCATGATGGTTTATGGGATATGTTAACTGTCGTTTTGTGTTTGTTTGCCTTTTACCCTCTAAGTTTTTTACATACAGTAACTTGCAGTATTTTTCTGTTGAAAACATTGACTGTCCTTCCCCTAGCACACTCCTAAGCAGAAGGAAGGTGTGTTCCGGTTCCCAGTGTGGCTTTGAGCATCACAAGCTCTTCAGCCTATGGGACTCCACAGACTTAACACATTACATAAACTAAAGGGGGATTTTCTTTCTTCTTTTGTTCAGTAGAAAATTACCCTTTTCTAAAAACTGAACAATGGCACAATTGTTTGCCCTGCACACCCGTCCAGGACTGAACTACGTGTAGGCGAAGCAAATGGAGCCAGGCATCTGACCCAGTAGTTTCCAGTTCTGAGTCAGGGAGTGGTCTGTGTCCAGGGACCCCAGTGCCCACTCCACAGCTGCCTGGTCAGCAGGCTTCTGATCTGCTGTCGTTCTCCTCAGCTGAGGCAGTAGGCAGTGTCGGTCCGCTCTTAGGCACTAGGACCTCTTCAGGACAGCACCAGCTCAGCTGTTGTTTGTTGCCAAATGCCACTAACGGGTTTAGTTTTAAGGAGAAAAGAAAACAAAAAGAAATGTGTGCTGTTTTGCTTCATAGAAGACATGGATTTGCAGGTGAGCCACTGAGCGTGCAGTGAGAGATGTGTGAAACGGACAAACCAAGTCTGCACTAAGGCAGGTCCAACGTCACTGTTTTTGAAACATGCACATCTTTTGATTATTTTTAGCCTTGCTGTGTGTACACTGATCTTTGTAGAAGTGTATGAGAGGCAGGAAATAGCATACAAGGTGAATATATATATATAAAAAAGCTTAGGTTGTAATTGTGCAAGCGATACATGGAAATACAAGATAAGGCAATTTAAACTTTTTTTTTTTAACTTTTTCTGCTTCTGTGGATCTCATTTTTCTGTTTGTTTGTTTTCAAGAAGTTACGGTGCTGTATAGGTGCTTTTTGTTTAACCTGCAAAGTGTGAGTGCATTCCTTACTCCCTTTGATAGACAGCGTAGTTGGGAACACCTTTGGTACATTAAAAAAACTGGTGTGACAGTGCTCTGAATAGCACAGCATACACATACTTCTCCAAAGTGATACACGAAGACTTTTCTTTGCATAAACAGCATTAGGCATATAAGTGTATAAATATCCTTTATCATGTACAGTACAAAAAACCGGAACTTTATGCATGGCATTAGGAGTGTGGGCTAGTGTCCCCCGCCCAGGTTCCCCTGCTCGAGTTCTTGCTGTCATTTGCACTGTGGCAGTGGGCACCAGCACCGGCGTGCTGCCCAGTCCCCTGCACCCACCATCGCTCTCTCGTGCACCTTTGCTTTATAACTGCTCCAGGGGTGCGCTGGTGGCGATCACAGCCCCCGGCATGACGAGAGTTCCATTTGGCATTGTCACACGGCTTTTCCTGCCTCACCTAGTTTATCATGTCTGAGCGATGACCCTGTTGGTCTCACTCTGCCTCTTATGGACACTGTACACTGTCTTGCAGTTGTGGTCCTAGTAGGCCCCGTAGCACATTGCCTTTCCCAAACTGCTACACGTTTGTAATCTTCATTTTTAAAGTCCGATTTTGAAAATGTGCATAGTGTTCACGTGGTCTGCTTGTCGGTGAGCCGTGCTTGTTTACTTCATCCCTCCATGATGCTACCAGCCCCCCCCCACCCTGACTCCACAGGAGTCAGCCGTCCACACGGACCTGTGTCATTTGAGTCAGAGGGCTGGCTTTCTGGCTTCCCAGGGTGCTGCCTCCTTGCTGGAATGCCATCAGCGTGGCGGCTGAAGGAGCGGAGAGAGCTCAGGTACGGGAGAGAACCCCACGTGCTTCCAACATGAGGGACCTGAGAACTCTCTCCTGAGTCTAAAGAAACGAGCAGACTAAGCTGTGCCGTTCATGGGCACTGGGGTGGGGGGGGAGAAGGCAACCCTCCTGTGCGCTCCCCTAGTTTTAAAAACGTTGAATTCCTGTCAGACATAATATCTCGTTTATTTTATTTCCCAGTGTTTGTTGGATTTCAGGCACCAGGTCTCACAGAATGTCCTAGAAACAGATTAAAAGATGAAGCAGGGTCAGAGGAGTGTGAGGCCAGAGTAGTCACAGCAGATTAGGAAAGCAAAAGGCAAAACCCTGGATAGGGTCAGACAAGATTTGAATAGTGATGCCTGCCCAGGCCTTGGCACACCAACCCTCAGATTCCCCACACAGAGGGACCAGGCTCCCTTGATAAACCCAGTTCTGTGGCAGTCAGACTCGGCAGAGGTGGAGCCTGGGCCCTCCGTGCCTTCTATTGGAACCCTGCTTTCAGGGTCTGCCTGTCATTGGCCACCAAGCAGCTTTCTAGATATCTTAAGTCCGTAACAATAAAATGCTCTGTCGAGACATCTGAGCAGATGACCTCATGGACATGCCAGGCTAGGGCCAGCCCGTGGAATCCAGATGAGAAACGAAGAAGCCTGTGGTGGGCCTTCTTAGGGAGCCCTGTGCGTCTGTGACAGGTGTATAGAAAGCAGAGTGCCTCGTCTTGAAGACTGGAGCACTTGGGGGCCCCATGGTTCTCTCCTAGAACCTGTACCAAAGATAGAGAAGAAGGTATGGCAAGCCTTCCTGGTCCTCTAGGACCGGCTGGGTTCCGCATACCTGTTAACTGTGAATGCATCAGAGGGGCGTTCTTCATTGCATCCTCTGCAACACAATGACTGCTGAAGCACATAAGGATTGTTTTCCGAAGTCTCTCCTGCTAGTGCAGGATCTTGCACACAGACGTAGCACAAAGTAGGCGTTGTCTTGGGGTGATGATTGGCATCGTGTGTGTTGCTTTCCCAGCCAGAGGAGAAGACCTCGTGGCCCACACTCCACGGGAGAGGTACACCGCATCTCAGGTGTGACTTCAGCCAACTTGAAAACCCACATACAGGTTAAAGTCCGCAGGGACAGACAACTTTTCCTTTTCCTAAGGAGCTCCATCCCATGAACAAACAAGCAGCATTTGACACTCTCGGAAAAGAGCTTCAAGAGTAAAGCAGAGAGATAGAAAGAAAGCCTTCCACCCACCACCCACCCCCACCCCCCAGTACTGAGGGGAAACAAAAGCCAGGTGATACAGACTTTTCTTTTTCTTGACTTTTCTTTTTCTTTTCTTCATTTCTTGGGAAAGGTCAAATGATTAGGCACAATAATGTTCTTTTTTAATTAAAAGCAGACCTTCTATAGAAAAGCAATCACTGGTAGAGTGACAAAACAGTTCTGGGAGCAGTAGCTGCAGGGGAACAGGGCTGAGATGGGAGAGATGTCTTGTGGGTCCTATCTGTCAAACAAGACCTTAGAACAGATGCCCAAAGAACTAACAGAGGGGTATGTGGTATTTGAACTAAATCTTAAGTGTATAACATACAGATTAGATGGATGAACTATTTTTCTTTTCTCTTTTTGAAGTTTATTCGTTTGTATTTTTCTTTCATGAGTGAATGATTACAAGGCCTCTGCCACATTCCAGGGACACTTGTGTAGCTGCTTAAAAAAAAAAAAATGTGTGTCTGGTCACTTATTTCTCTAAAATTATCTCATTGTCTGGCAATCAGCCTTCTCTTGTACACTTGTCCTAGCACATTATGTACGTGGGAAATGTGGACAGATGTGAAGGAGACCAGAAGAATTAGTGAATACTGAAAAATGTCTTGTGCATTTGGGCTTCACATGTTTAACTTTTTCTTTTTTAAGAAAAAAGTTGCATGAATGAAAAAAACAAAAACAAAAAAAAACCTCTGTACACAGTATCTGTAAAAATGGCTTATCTGTTTTGATTTCTTGCTTCTACCCCACACAAACTAGAATTTCGTGTGGCATGGGGCCATGTTCTAACACCCAAGAAGCAGTTCGTCGTTCGGTTTGAAGCAGCTTGTCCTTTCAGAGCAATCGCTCTCATGCTGCATTCTGAGTACTGAGGACCTGGCCTAACCACACGTTGCTATGAATTAGCCCTGCCGCCTTTCTTCTCAAGGATCAAAACCAGTTTGATTTGGGAATCTGCCCCTTTCCAGTGGAATGGAGGTGCTTACTCCCCACGGTGTTTGTAGATATTGCCTGTGTATTCCATTTGAAACCATAATCTAGTTTGTAAAGGAGATGATGGCGCATGTAAATAAAGCATTGAGCACACTCTAGCTCATGCCCACAAGTCTCTGTCATCATCACTGTCCTGTTCTCCCAGCAAAGAAAAGGTTGCATTTGTGTGGCAGTCTTCAGGTGGGATCATTTCCCAGGCTGAGAGAGGCAGAGACCTACAAGGCCATCTAAACTAAAGGAACCTACTTCTCCAGTCCACTCTTTACCTCCGTAGACAAGCAGACAAATCAATAAAACACATTTACACTGTTGTTGAGGCTGGCTGATGGCCGGGCTTGGTGTGTGCTATCACATAGCCCTAAAGGACAGTTAGATCCCAGGCAGGATCTGATGCCTGCCTTCACAGTGACCAGCCCTGAAGCGGCCATCCACCCAAGGTTCCAGTGAATAAACAATGGCCGCCATCATGGCCCTCCCACACACTGAAAACCAAACACAATCTCCAGGCTTCTGATGGCAACAGAACCGAGGCTGACGTCTGACTGCTGGCCCTGTCAGAAGGAGCAAAATGTGTAAAACTATCCTTCGTTGTCTGTGTCATCTCTTTAATATACATTATAAAAATTACTACTCTTAGAGAAAATCCCAAGCATCTGGTTTAAAGGGCCCGAGACAGGACAGTTCATATCTCGGTTTAAGGAGGTAGGAGATTGGCGAGTCAGACCCTTAGGATGAGCTGTCTAAAAACAGCCCCGCAGTCTGTTTCTCTCTCACAGTTGAACCCTTACAAAGGGAAAACACATGCCATCTTCTGGCATCCAGCTGGGGGAGGCGTTTCCACCTGTGCATCTGGATTCTCGTCCCAGAAGAAGAGACTTGCAGTGCCAGTTGCTGTGAGACTTGAGTTCTCAAAGCCAGGTGAAAATGCAGCCAACGGCAAGTTAAAACCCCCTTGACTGCTTAGTCTCTGTGGCAGCCGCTGGACCTCCTGACAGCCCCGAGAGGACCAGGACCCGGCCCCCAGCCCCCGGCATGACTGATAGGCACTAGGTGTGATGGTCCATGCTCTGCCCCAGGGCCGGGTGATTCAAAAAGGAAAATCTGTATGAGGCCCTCAAATCATTCACACTCGGGTAGTCTGGGCAAAGCTTTCAGCCACATAGCATCCAGATCACACACAAGAGCTTCAGTTCGGCGACCAACAGTAAAGGAAAGTGGGATTCCTAGCCAGCAGCCAAGCTGTAGGACACGCAGGCACTCTTGGGAAGCATAGGGAGGCAGGAAGGCAGCTGAGTCTGATGGCTCGGCCGGTGGTGCTCTGCGTGGCTGTCTCTCAGCTGGTGGGAATAACCAAGTATAGGAGTGAAGAGGGAACACGCATGGGACCCACTCCATTGAAGAGAAAAAATGGTCCTGGTCTAGAGGCCCATGCCCTTTTGGGGATGGAGAAACAATTTCCTTTAGGTTTTTTCTTATGAAGAACGTAGAAGTTGGTTCTGGAGAGATGGCTCAGGAGTTAAGGGCACTGGCTCCTCTTCCAGAGGACCCACTTTGATTTCCACCACCAACATGGTAACTCCTGCTCCAGGGGATCCAAACCTGGCCTCTTCAGGCACAGATATGCACGTGATACACAAACAAACACGCAGGGAAGACGCCCCTACACAGATAAAAACAACGGGTTTTTTAAAGAATGTACAAGTTTAACGCTGTCCACATGAAAACCTGAGGGAGAATAGGTTGTGTGCGTGTTGTGAGGTCCTGCCTAAGGTCTGGCGATGTGGCAATGGCTCAGCTGCTTTGGTGCCGCCAATGTGCCTCCCTGCTTCTGAAGAGGGGGTCTCAGTGCCTGTCCTGGATTGGCACTGTACCTGTTACATAGTTAAGATGGGCTAAAGGGGCCGCCTGAAATGTTCGGGCCCAGCCCTGGTTAACTCCCTAAATGAATGAGTTCCACGAGGGCTGCAGAAGAAAGCCAGACCAGTAGAGGAAATTAACAACTGAACCGGGAGGTCAGATGGCTGAGCTTTCTGACATCGCCACTCAGGCCACAAATGAAGATCAAAACAGGCTCAGAAGAGAGTGGGAAGTGGGCATATTTGGGACTTAGTGTGCTCCAACAAACAGAAACCCCAGCAAGTAGAGTAGGCCACCAGAAATTCCAGACCAAGGAGCCTCTCCTTTTCAATAGAGTAATGGTACAGCCGTGCCCTGAGCGGAGTTGACCTTTAGAAATGCAGGGCCTAGGGTGAGCAATGGCAGAGTGTCGGAGGGTGCTGAAGAAGTGAGAAGCCCTGATAACTGGAGAATGGCTCTTTCTCTGCACGGCATCCACGGAACTGCTGCTTCTGCGGCCCATCAAAGCAGTAGAGAAAGTCCCCTCTGCTCTCAGATCACTGCACTGTCAAGCTCATATCCCTCCTTCCAGCAGGGTTCAGCAGCTAGACGGGACTGAGCACCTAGAGTTGAACATCTGTGATTAAGGAGTTAGGTGAGACGTTGCAATGGCTGAGTCTGGGGGCGGGGGAGGAGGAAGCAAGAGGGTTCAGCCATCGGCAATTCACCTTACACACTCTTGTGACTTACGGAAGGAGTGTATTATTACTTGTATAAAGATAGCTTCAAAAACATGGAGGTGGACTGGCTTTGGCTCCTGAGACGAGAGCAGATAATACAGTGGGAGAAGGATACTAGAGAGCAGAGGCAGGGATAATGAGGTCACCTTTAAGTGCTATGTGACCTCTAAATGACAGGTGCAGTGGTAACACTGTGTCCTCATACTTTGGGTGTCCTTAACCTGTCTTAGATACCAGAATGAGGATGTACCTGATCAGAACAAAGGAAAATCATACAGCCGTTAAAGCAATAATCATGAAAAATGCATGAGAAAATGCTCATGTCAAATGCTCTTATATTTTTTTTTATAACCTTCCGTATTTATATATGGAAAATGCAGGATCCAAGTAGTATGTACTAATATAAAGACAGCTGGGGAGAAATAATCCGAGGTAAAGTATAAAAATAGAAATAATTCCTGTCCTGGATACCCTGCGGGCCACCACACCTGGCAGAAGTCTGCTGCGTTGCTACATCATCGGCTTAACCCAGACTCACCCGTTGATTGGCATGACACTGGTTTGCCTCCAACCATTTGTTGTTCTCGGCAACACTGCAACAAACAATTTTATACATATGTTCTCTCACACCTCTGAGGAGTTCTGGGAGGACCGGTGCCCAGATGTGGCATTGCCGAGCCAAGAGAAACCTGCATAGACAGAAGTTGGCCCAACTGACCTCCAATGGAACAACCAGTTCATGACACACATCGGCAATGAGACGCTCCTCAACCACTTGTGATTTCCATATCTTAACAACTGCAAAGCTGTGTTTCCTCCCCACTGGAAACTTCTTTAAGTCTGCACCTAAGGGAAGGCAAGGGTCAAATGGGTATCAAGGAACCATCAAGGATAATGGTGGAGGACTCAAGGGAGGCTCGGGTCACCTGACACAGCTAGGAAGGTGAAGCCATTCTGAGCACACAGGTGATCTCTCTGCCACAGGAGGAAGTCTCTGACTGGCAGCCTGTCCATCCAGTCTGGCCACAGTCTCCTCCCCTCACGCCACCAGCTTGAACTGCATTGCCTCAGGGTCAGCAGCCAAACCTGGCAGCTGGGCTCCCTCATCTCCCAGGAATTCCGGAGGGACGCCATCACCCCCAAAGAAACAAGTCTGGTCTCTTTGGTTCCAACCTGCATACACAGACTTATTCACAGTGAGATTGCACAAGTAGGTGGAAGATTACTCTGGTGTGTTTGAGGGCTGAGCACTGCTCGGGGTGGGGTGGGGTGGGGTGGGGGCTGTGCTGCCTGCCAGCCAGCCTTGGAGCAAGGCTGTTTCCAAAGGTTCTGCAAGGTATTCCCAACGCCGGGAGCCTTCAGGAGCCCACTGGTTTCTCTTCCCAATAGGAGGGGGGATTGCTCCTCCAAAGGAGAAATTCTGACACCATCCTACTGCCTACCCTGCAGGTTGGCAGCACAGACAGGGGCCCACAGCTACCATAGACAAGAAGCTGGAGGAGGAATAAGCCACATGCACCTCTGAAGACTGCAAAGCCAGAATCAGCGAGGATGTCTGCTTGAAATCAGACCACATCCACTTGAGCCTGGGCCTACCAGGCAGGGACAGAACAATGATGATTAATGACCTTGAGGCAATGGAAGCCAGGCTGCAGGGCCATGCAGGTGGCATGAGGGTGCCCAGAAGTCTCTGCATACCCTTCCAGCAAGTTCTGAGCAGATTCTTCATCCAGGTCTCATTGAGTGATTGATAATTTTTACTCTATAAAAACATACAGCAAAGTGAATCAAACATTCATGAATCCATTAGAGTAATTTGATTACATACTAATGGTGAGCAAGAGGTGGCTGGTTGTGAGGTCTTCTGCGCTCTCTCAGTGTTCTCTACAATCTGTTGGTGAGGACCGTATTCACACTTGGCTTTCTTCATTCATGCTCTGTACCCTAGAATCATAGTCAAGGGCTAAGAGACTCAAATGTCCTGGGAAAGATCATCAAAGGTTGTATATCTCGTCTTGGTTCTGCCTCCCACAACCGTGTCCCCTGAGTGTGCTGGCTAGTTTTATGTTGACTTGACACAAGCTGGAGTCACCGGAGAGGAGGAAGCCTCAATTGACAAAATGGCTCCATAAGAGCAGGCTTCAGGCAAGCCTGTAGGAAATTGTGTTAATTAGTGATTGGTGGGGAAGGACCCAGCCCATTGTGGGTGATGTCACCCCTTGGCTGATGGTCCTGGGTTCTATAAGAAAGCAGGCTAGGCAGGCCATGAGGAGCAAGCCAGTAATCAGAACCCCTCCATAGCCTCTATTCAGCTCCTGCCTCTAGGTGCCTGCTCTGTTTGAGTTCCTGTCCTGATTTCTTTTAATGATTAACAATGATGTAAAGTGAATGAGTAAACCAAATAAAACCTTTTTTTCCCCCAAGTTGTTTGGTTATGGTGTTTCATCTAGAAATACTAAGACACTGAGTCATTTCAACTTTCTCAGGAGTCAGTTTCCTTGTTTGCAAAGTCTACTCCTTGA